ACCAACTGTGACTCACTTTGTTTTTTTTCTCTCCAAAGCGATCACAACCTGTCTGGGTGTAAATGTTCTGTCTCCAAGATGAGTTAAAATGGAATTGTAATCATATTTCAAATTGTTAATGTATTGGTGCTTTTGTCTTTGAAAACGGGCCAACAACTCAGTGCAGCTCTGAGTTTTATTTAGCCAACCAGCCTGGGCCACCACAGCAGTTACTGATTGATAAGATCGCTGTGTCTGTTTTGTTTATAGAAACAATAAAATAGTTCTAACTCTGGGGCACTCTTCCAAACAGAAATCCATAGAGAAAATAGTCAATTCCAGCACAAACACTCACAAGAGCTACTGGTCGACTTGGTTGGAAATGTATTTCCAAAAAGTAAAGATAAAACACCCGTCCTATTGGTGGCAGTGCATCAATAATTTCTGTGAAACCACAGTGAAAATTCATGATTTGGAAATTCTGAGTGGAAACGGTGGGATTTTTTGGGCTGTAGTAGTCAATAAATATGGCCCGACTGTAGATCTAACAGGTCATAGTTGTTTGTCTGTCCAGTGATAGTGAGCATCTGTACCAGCCTGTGGTCCAGACCAAAAATGTATCATCGCCTCATGGCTGTGGCTTTAAATAGAAGCTTCGCTATTAATAAGCGCACAGAGCATCACTGGGACATGATATCATCGGCCGCTGTTACAGGTTTCTTCCAGTGTAGTTTATAAACACATCCTTTTTGGTCTATTTGTGACGTTCTAAAAGTGTGTGTGGAACTCATTTGGCAGCTGATTGGAGTCACACCTACTGTCTGCATGTCAGTTGTTGTTCTAAGCTCTTTTCACAGCAGATTAGCTGAGCTGGCACTGCTCTGTTTATTTGTCATCAAGGACAGAAACCGAGGTTTTAATCTGCCAGTAATCTGCCATGTTTGGCATATGTTGTTAGCTAAAAGGAACAGCTCTGGGGGACACTGTCCTGCTGTTCTCAGCTCCAGAGTTGTAGGGAGCTGACAGGTAAACATAATGACTGACACAATTTGAATGGGTAGTTAGGGTTTTCTTTCATGTGGTTTTATGATTTCAAGTACTGACTGCAATCTGGCCAACATCTATGTCCACTAAGGTCAACGATAGTTTAAGGGTATTGAGGTTTTTTTTTCTCTCATGAACACACACAGAGAAAATATTTTATTACATGACGGCCCGTTATACTTGTTGATTCACTGCTGCACTGTTGTATTTTATTCACTGAAGAGCATTGCACTCAGAAATGTTGACCTTGGTGTTTGACTACAGACAAACTCCTCATATCAAAGTTGTCTCCTTGACGCAAATTCACCACATTTGGCAGCAGAGGACACTCCGCCAACACCCGTGTCTCTCCATGTGACAAAAAGCCAGTTTTTCAATCAACCTTGATGTAGAAATATTAGCAAGCAGGAAATTTAACTAGGACAGTGTTTCCCAACCTTTTTTCAGCCACGGCACACGTTATACCACCAAACATCAAACATCTTACAAAAAGTACATCTAATGAAATATAATAATCTTCTAGATTAAATGATCTCATAATTGACTAAAATCTCGGCCTGTTTAGTTAAAGACATCTCTGATATACTGGCAGGAAATGAAGAAAGACACTCACAACGATCTTCTTCAACAGCTCTGATTATTTGTTGTTTAGTTTTCATAGCCATCAGTATGAAACAGTAGAAGACAGATTTAGACGTGTGACCCCTCCAGCCTAAAGACTCGCCCTCGTCCTGCAATCAAATCCCAGTTTTAGCTCAGTCCATTCCCCCGAGTCTGGATCAGCACCTGTTGACTGGCCAATTAGAACCACTCACTCAGCACAGATTATGTCGCTCACCGCTCGCTCCGGTGTGTGTGTGTATCTGTGTGTTCTTGTGTATAAGTAGTTCTCCCCTGAGGATGTTCAAGGACTGTGGTGATGTGGGCTTCTCTGTGTGTTTGTGTGGGCCACCCAAACAGAGCGGTGAGGCAGGATACACAGGTGGTCCCACAAATGAACAGCACTGCTGTGTCAGTCAGCAGAGCAGTCCGAACGGAGCCTCACAGACAGATCGACACACACTCTAGTGCTACCAGTGGTCAGAGATAAAGGGAAAAAAAGGAAGAAAAGAGAAAAATGTGAGCAGAGAGGGATTTTTAATGAAATGAAGGCCAAAGCAGATGTGAGGGAGTAAAAGTGACATATTGCTGGCTGTAAAGCTCACACAGCAGAGGAGGAGAGCTGGGGAGAAGAAGGTCAGGCTCCTCATTAATCCAGACTAAAGGGCTAAGGCCACCAAGGGAGGAGAAGAAAGAGGGATGGCGAGAGAGAGAGGAGAGACAGGAAGAGGAACAGTTTTTATTATTATTATTTTAGCTCCATTAAAACACTGAGCAAACCTCATTCTCCGTTATGCCTCCTTCAAACGATTCACTTTGTTTTTAAATCTGTGGCATCATCTTTTGGAAGCCGTCCCGTTCACACATTCACAGGTTATTTTCCTGACTTCAATTAGAAACCTAACACAAGAAGCAATAAATCCCAGTGTGAAGTAATTGTAATAATAAAAAAAACTGCCTTCAGTTGAGCAGGTTTACTCCACAGCCATCATTAAACACGCCTAATGTTCTCCATTAATAAATAATAGACTCAATTGACTGTAAACACAAGGGTTCAGTTTTAGATAGATATGTTATACACTTCCTTCTTCTGGCCATCAATATGTAAATAATGACGGATATTTGTAATTAAATGTTCTCTGTACCAGTAAAGGGAATACGAGCTAATATTTGGTGAACCAATGTGACCCTGGGTTAAATGTGTAGTACGCAGGGCGCCCTTTGCTAATTACAATTTTGAATTATTAATAATAATTTATTTATAATTATATGTTAAAATTATATTATGACTAAATACAATGTTTTCCAGTGTCAAATAGATCCAGTAGGTGGCAGTAATGCATTCAGATCTGCTGGTAAAGCCAAAAGAAGCAGTTAGCTTGACCTAGCATTGATAAAGACTGAGGCTGTGCCCGAAATTACTCTCTCATTCCCTACTCCCTCTGTAGGTAATTGTATATAGTGCAGTGTATGGTGGAGTCAGTGGTTAAATGAAGAGCAGTTCTGGTCACTTACTTGGTTGGCAGTTAATTACATCATTACCGTCGCACAATTAAAATGGACAGACGGAGTCTGCTCCTCTCTCCACTATGTCGTCATGACTGCAATGCATGATGGGATATATTAAATGGAAGTTTGACAAAACCTTATCTTGGCTACAGCTTTTGAAAAGATGTGTCATCAGAGGTTTCACCCTGACCTAACCCACCGCTTTGAGTTTGGATCAAAGCACAAACAGCACAGGAAACAAAAGCTGTGTTTTCAAAAATAACCGCCTACATGTGAGTGATGGCACGACTACCTGAAACCACATGAGAGTGCACAAGCATTTATGTGAGGATCCGGCCAACAGCTGGGGGATTAGTGGGTCGGTGGGCCTCAGCAGCCCACAGGGACTTCTTCATCAGTGGGTCACGCAGCTGGCTGTGAGATTGAGGGAAGTGGTGTTCACTGTGTGTGAGTGTGTGTGTCTGTCTGTCTGTCTGTGTGTGTGTGTGTGTGTGTGTTCTTCAGTAATGGTTCAAGATTGGAATCTCCCATTGAGTTTGTTTTAACTCAGTGAAACCAGAGAGTTGACTTGGACTTGGCAGCACGACTTGGTGACCTGTGCACAGACTTCAACTTTAAAGTACCGAGTACTCGTTTTCCTCAGACATTCTTATGTGACGTATTTATTTAGCTTGTGCCAAATTGCCCTGACAAATCACCCCCCCCCCCCCTCGCGCCCATCAAGGTGAGTTTAGATTCTGAGTTAATGTCAAGTTTCCACCACTGTCGTGGATCAGACTGAAGCAGATTACAGCTTTAAATTTAGATACAGCAGAGTTTCCTTCAGTTCTGTTCCATGAGGAGCGGACCTGCTGACTCTCTGTAGTTGGACGTGTGTGTGTGTGTGTGTGTGTGTTGCTCAGCTGTGGAAACAGCACATAAGACGGAAAACATTTGAGTGGGACTGTGAAAGGTGAGCAGCTTTTTTCCTCTCTCATTCTATTTCACTATCTCTCTCTCTCTCTCTCCCTCTCTCCTTCTCTCCCACTCTCTCCCTCTCTCCCTTACTTTCCCCTCCTCTCTTTCTTGCTCTGTCACCCTGAGCCCTCCGTGTCTCCTTACCCGGGGGTTTAGCCCCTAATCACCCAAAGCTTGTGGGAGGGAACTGGAGACTTCCAGCTGGCTGCCTCGTTACTGCAGACCCCTGGGATACACACACACACACACACATTCCTACACACACTAGCTAAACACACACACACAAACTTACACATAACCTCATATATGCTTACTGAGGCATTTGCTGTTATCTCTTGGCATCTCTCCATCCATGTCCCCTCCACAACTGGATCCTGCCAAGGCCACAGCCTCACCATGTAAACTGAATAATGGGGGGTGGGGGGGGGGGGGGGGTCCACCTCTTAAAACTGGTTTAAACCAGATTCTTCCCCATATCCTTAAGAATTCCAGTTGTATAAATACACTGTTAAAACACCGTGGTGTGAACAAGTCCAACGTCCACATCGGGACTGTGTCCCCTCAAAGTTTTTAAAAACTTTCAGACAAACTTTAAGTTTACAGATAAAACAGGATTTTCAGTCAATTTAGGAAAAAAAAATCTTAGTGGTAGAAAACCATGATCGTAGTCAAGTGTCCGCCCGGGCTAAATAATCTGCTACAGTAAATACACCTGAGCTCCCAGCCCTGAGGCAGGATTCAAACAGGAGCCACGGCACTACTACAGGAAGTCAGCGACAGTAAACCTTCTCCAAGGCTGCCGTCCTTCTGCAGATGTTATGTCATATATTATGGTTTAAATGGGAGCGCCCTCAGACTTCAGTGTGTGACATCACTAACTCACTGTGCTAACAGAAGTATTTGTCTTTCAGGCGGGATCCGTATGATTACCCCATCTACTCCAGACCTGTCAAAGATAAACGAGACGCGGCACCAGGCCACTACCACGACCAGCCTGCTTCCAGTCACACTGGCCGCGTCCCGCTCCCCCAGTCGGGCACCAATTCTCAGCAGCCGCCCGGCAACCAACGCTACCACCCATCGTCCTCCCAACAGCACCTCACGGTGGTGAGGCAGGATGTGCCGCCATCTCCTACTGCAGGGCACGAAGGGCAAGACCACTACAGAGCTGTCAGAGGGAGGGGCGACGCCCACCGGGATGCCAGCCCAGGAAGGTACGCAGCCTCCAGGGAGCGCTACGCCAGCCCGGAGCGCTACGACTACAGAGATGACAGTCAGGCTGATCCTCGACGGAAAAACCCGCTGATTAATGCAGTATAAAAACGGGAGCCACGTCTGAGTGTGTAAATCGGCTGTGGCCTATCAGGTTAGGGTCTTTTTAACAAGCCATAAAAGATTATTGCACATGTAATCCACTGTAGCTGTGCGGCTGTACCAGCGGCTGACACACTGCCAGTGCTGACTTCATTAAAGTTTCCAGAAGAAGCAGTGAGAACATGGACTCGGGAAAAGGCTGATTTGAACAAAAAAAGACATACAGAATATTCTTTAATCCAAATGGTTGTCTGTAAACCTGTGACTCATTTTCACCAAAAGACACGAGCTGATGGTTAAAATCTTTGTGTCACTAAGTGAAGAAACAACGTTGATGTGAAGTGATGGAGAAAATTATTTTTATGATGGAAACCAGGGGTGGATGAACCAGTCCAAATATTTGCTTATGGACAAACAAACAAACAAACAAGAAAATCACTATCACTGTTATACTGCCACCTATTGAAAACAAATTTTTAATCTCTTACTCTAGAACAATGTTGTGTTTCTGGAGGGAGTTGTCGATTAATGACATGCACAAAGTGACCTTTATTGGCATGTTTTCGTACAGAGTCAGCTCACGTCCAGCAAAGTCAAACGTGCACATGTCGAGAGTTGGAAGGAAATAAAGCAGAATCACCTCGACCGCGGGGGAGGAAGAGGAAACCGAAGTGGGCAAAAGGAAACAGGAAGTTGCCGTCCTCCGTGTCTTTGTCCTTGTCCTTGTTTTGTCTCTCGGATTTCCTCTTCATCCTGCTGTCACGACATTTTCTGTCCTAAATATGTATAGTCTTTGTTAATTACTTTACTTTTAATTATTTAGATGTGGATTTGGCATAGAGCATTTATTTCTGTATATTTTCACTTTTATAATCATTATAAATAAATCTTGCAAAACGAGTCTCGGAGTTTGACCATGTTGTGAATGACTTGACATATTTCAATCCTTAAATGCACTCTGTGCAGCTAACATTAAATATCATTTAGATTAGATACAACTTTATTCATCCCTCAGGATGTTTGAATAACGTCAGCTGTGAATATTTACAAGTTTGTTGTTTTGTGTTTATCGTGTGTTTTCTCTGTAATTCTCCCCTTGTGCAGAAATGCCGTATTTTAACCCATGTTTCTTTTATTCCAGTAATTAACCTCAATGATGTGCAGTTCAGTTATTCAGCCAACGTCATCACTTTTAAGAATTTCTGCACAATATTCCCATTAATTCCTGGGAGCAGGGTGTGCAGATGGATTTGCCCCCTGCCAGATGACTGATAAGAATAGCCAGTGTTCCAATAATGACAAAATCATCTTCAACAATTAGAGTCAGAGAACTCTCCAGCAGAAAGTGATTACTGGCCAATTTGCTCTCAGAAATAAAGAAGGCACTGATTGGAGAAATTAGACTTGAAATGGGGAATAATTAGAGTGTGGAGGAGGCTTTTTCTATCTGTTAGTGTTTAATTAGCACGGGGGCCCAGAAGGGACCAGGCCGGGGCTGATCTGTCTCGTCTCTGCTTTCTGGGCTCACACCGTGTCTTCTTTGAGCTGGAATAGACCTGTCAAAACCAGATTAGGACCAGTCGATTGTTTTTATTTAACCCACTTTTGATCCAAAAAAAGCTCCTCTTTCCCAGATACAGTCAGGCCCACATCAATGAGCCCAGTCTGGTAGATTTTCTGCTTTGTTGCAGCAGGTTTTTCAGGTCGATTTTAGCCTTGAAACAAAACATTATCACAGGAAATCCAGTCCTTATTTTAACAGAGGACTCACGTTTTTATTTTGCTTTACCTGTAACCTGTATAAATTGTTACATGTATTTATGGAAATGAACTTGGGGGCAGATTGTGATCAATTTACAGACAAAACTAAACTAAAGTTTCAGGTTTCAGCCCAGAGACAAGATCTCAACCCATGTTTCTGTCCCTGTCAGACACAGGTCCCATTTCTCAAATGTCTTCACTTTTTCATTCTGCAGCCAAGTTCAATTCAAAACTAAACCATGAAAACAAAACTGTTTTCTCAGAATTTTCTTAAGCAATTACACGTGTGACTCAATCCTGTCACAACTACAACGTCTCCTTTTGTCTTGGACTCGGACTTGATTCTGAGTCTCAGTGACAAACTGACTCTGACTGGATTTGGACTCAAACGTGTTTTTCTGAGACGCACAGTCCTCAAAGTTGTTTCAATTGACTTGGACTCAGACTTGGACTCAACCGTTGTGGACTCGACTGATGAGTCATGTTTTTCTTGCAGCTCTGCAGCCATGCTGTTGACTGGGCTGGTTCTTAGTAAACTCAGTGCTGACATTGTGTCAGTTTTTGAAAGAACAAAGAACCTAGACTATCACCTCAAAGGCAGCTCCTCTGGAGACACTTCAACCTCATACACACTTGTGTGTATGTGTGTGTGAAGTTGAAGTGTGGAAAGACACACTTGGACGAACATCAAGTGTTGGATAAGGTGCACACATACAGTACAGTGGCGTTTAGTTCCAGTGTCCCTGCCACTCTAATGCATTACCCTGTTGCCTGCTGTCGTTATGTGTGTGTGTGTGTGTGTGTGTGTCAGTCAGAGTCCGGCTGGTGCTGAAAGCCTGATGGATGGGGCCCCGGGGTCAGGGACTTCAGCTGTTGTTGGCCGCAGCACAGCACAGCGGAGCGAGCGGCTGCCGGCCTTGGTGAGCAGCAGAGTCACAGTCCTTTTTTTTTTTTTTTTTTGGTGTTTTCATTTGGTGCTGTGAGAGGGAAGCTGCCGTGATCCTCCTCAGATCAGGAGATTAGCAAAGCAGCTGACTCATCCTGAGAGACACACACACTGCTGCTGTGTTCACGGGGAGCCGTGGACTCACACTCCTGTTTTAACACCACTCACTGAGCACAGCTTTGGTTTTTACTTTGAACGTCCTCTCTGTAAACTAAATCTAATGCTTAGAACTAATATCAGTTTCACTTTGGGCTCTGGTTCAAACTAATACTAATGGATAACTGTGTTGGTTAGAACGGATACATCCTTCTGAACTGAGTCAACACCGTCTGGTTGTACTGAAATACAGTAGAGTCCACGCCGTGTGTGACTGTGGGACACAGCCCATTGTACAAGGTGTGGGACAGCTTGATGGACGACTGTATGGACAGTTAGAGTTCTGTGTGGAAGGATGGATGAATTTACAGATGGATGGATGTTTGGACAGGTGGACACACAAACACTTGGATCAATGGATGAATCAATAAATGGTCAGATGGGTAAAATGACAAGACGGATGGAGAGGATGATAGATTGGCTGGATGGACAATTAAACAGCTGGGTGGAATGGATGGATGGATGGATGGATGGATGGATGGATGGATGGATAAACTCACAGACAGAATGGATGGATAGAAGGATTGGTCCCTGAAGGAGGCGTGGATGGATATTTGGCCAAACCGTGGACATACTAATGGATGGATGGACGAACAGACAGACAAATGGAAAGATGGACATATGGACCGACGGCCACTTGAATGGATGGGTGGTCAGACTGACGGACAACTGAAGAATGAATAGATTGATGGATGGATGTGTGAATTAAGGAATGCATGGAAGCTTGGGTCAATGAACAGAAGAATGGAAATGATGGAGAGTTGGACCAATGCTTAGGTATAAAGGGATAGTTGGATGGAATGACATTCTTCAGTGTTGAAGAATCCAGTGGACGGTAGTTGACCAGGGGGGACAGACTGGTGGAAGGAAAAAAAAAACATTTAATTTTGAATCTAACCTTCAACCACATGAACTGATGACTGGGACGTGGTGGAACATGAGGTCTGAACCTGATCATGGTGGGATTGGATCCCAGCCTCTCCAGTCAGTGGATGGGATGTGTATGTGTGACTAGATGAGGTACTGGTGTGAAGAAAAAAAAAAGAAGCATTTCATGATTTTCTCTTTCATTGTTGCCACGACGATGTCATCATTTCTATGGAGGGGTGGGGGTCTGTGCCAGGAGCGGCGACTACGTTGCCATAGTGACAGCTGGTGTAAAAATGGTGGTTGGTTTCTCGGCTGGTGTGGTGTGTGGGCGAAGGAGGCAGCAGCTCCGGTTGCATTTAGGGTAAACGTGCAGTAAATTAGGAGAGAGAGAGGGAGAGAGAGGTGAGTAAGAAATGGCAACATCTTAAACACAGCACAGGGTGAAACCAAGCAGGATTATTGCACAGGAAATGAAATCATTTCCAATCCCAGCCCGGCTGTGGAGATCCACTTTCACAGTCTGTGAACAATATCAAACAAACATGTAGGCTGTAAAGGCAGAGCGATGGAGAATCAAAGAGCTACACACAGACATTAGAGAGAGAGCGGGCCGCGGAGGGCGAGCACCGCTCACCCACCGCTCACCCACCGCTGCACTCATCTCCACATCCAGGCCCTTTAAAGTGCACATTAGCCACTGGCTATTCCCATGAACTTCCTCCAACCTGCACCAGGCTGGAGTGAGTGGGTGTGTGTAGGTGGTGGCGTGTGTAATGTGCTGTATAATTAAATGAGCAGCTCTGCTCGGCCGGGTCCCGAGGCTCGTCCGTCCTAACGAGGGCTAAATTGAAATGAATGGGAGCAGGTGGAGGACAGAGGGACGGAAGGACGTTGTTGGGAAATGTGCCTTTAATGAAGAGCATGAACGGGAAGGTTAGAGTGCGTGGAGGTCACGGTCTGAGGTCACAGAAATACGTCACACCAGGTCACGGTCTGAGGTCACAGAAATACATCACGTTATTTTGCAGCGTGAGACGCCGTAAACCTAACACCCACACACACACACACACACACACAATTGATCTTTGTAAACATGTCATCCGTCTTCCTCTGCCCGCGTGTGTGAGGCAGCCATGTCATTTTTTTGGAGCGGTGGAGGCGAGCGATAACTGTTCCAGCGCCTACACTCTTCTCTCCCCGTAGAGGACGTCTTTTTGACTGACACATGCTAACAAGTTAAGGTGTTCGACAGCAGCGCTGGCTGAATAGTTAATTCCAAGAGGAGAAACGACCTGGGAATTCTCTCTCTCTCTCTCTCTCTCTCTCTCTCTTTCTCTTTCTCTCTCTCTCAGTTTTATCAAGTGAATCAAAAAAAAAAAGTTAATGAGAACCTAAATTAATACAAAAAGAAAAAAAAAACATGAAGAGAGCGTGTGTGGATTTCCAAAACCGGATCATTCACCTGAAGAAGCAGCGTGTGTTCAAGCGCCACTGCACATTGACACATTTAAACACAACAACTCTGGGCCGCCACTGATAAACGACAGAAAATGTCTGAAATCTAAGGCACGAAAACAAAAGTTAAAGAAACGTGCCATTGCTTTGCCTCACGTTTCCCACAATCGAAAAATGTAAAAAATGGGTCACAGGGTCAAGCCGTGGCCAGCGAGAATAAATCCATGTTGGTTAAGTTGGTAAGGGGGAGGGTAGTGAGGGGTCTGTATCTATAGAAAG